GTTTTCATACACATGGTCTAGTGTAATCCTAAGGAAAATATCATTTTGACCCTCCCTTTTCCCCAGTTGGCTTCTAACTTAAAAGATTTTCCTAAGGGTAACTTAGTAACTTAGCTAGTAAGATTTAGAGCATAGTTCTGTTTTAAACTTAGCCTTATTCATTGTCATCAGTTATTTGTCCAAGCAGTGTGCACATACAAACATATGCACTATCTGTCACTCTCTGTTCTCGTCACTGTAAAGGTTATCGTAATTTCTCTGCTGCCTCCTGTACCAACTAAGGATAAAATAGATGGCAAGTCTGACTTAACAGAGAAACCAATTTTAACAAATTTTATCTGTACTCAGTTCGTTCCATCATCACCCTGACTTATTAAAAATATACAGGAAATCAATAGGTCATTTAAAATTATATCATACTAAATAACTGGTTGGACTGGCATTTGTCCTCCAAAGACTTTTTTCAGTTTTATGCAGTTGTACAGCCTATGGCTAAAGAATGAGCTGAAAAGTAAATTGCAATTAACTGATTGTGTCATATGGGAATATTTTCTGATTTTTTGTCACTTGAAGCAATTCTCAAAGACATTAAAAAGGACTTGTGATTAACTTTAATGAAATTTGAGAAGTTATATAGATAGTTTGCATCTTTAGCATTGTATTAATTTGCAAATGATGGGGACAGCTTTTAAGAACAAGGTGTTTCTTTAACCTTTAGGATAAGATAATAAAAGTAATTATTTTTCTCTCACTCCTTTGTGCTTTTGCATCATTTGAAAATGGCAATAAACAAGGACAATTTCCTGGAATGCCTATTGGGGTAAGTGGATGAGTCATTCTTTAAGTGTCATCAAATTCATAAGGACAAGTTACAGTGAAGTATTCAGATTATACTGAGTGTTGATTCCAAAATGTGTGGAAAAGGAAAGTTATTTGGGGATACAGGAGTAGTCATTCATATTTTTCCTGCTGGTCCAAATGAAAATAATGCAGTGGTAATTATAGGTGCGGTAGAGGTTTCTTTCTAGGGCAGTTTTCAAGTTATTTCCATTCTTTACCTATTCTTCCCAGTAGGTTGCAAAGCTCATAAAGATTCTATGGCTTTGCCAAGACTTTGGTTGAGCCCCTGCAATTTCCCTACCAGTTCAAGTGTGACCACTGTAAGTAATGACTTTCCCAACTTGTCCTGTATCTTGCCCTAAAGTTTTCATTATGATAGAGTATCAAAATACAGCATAAAATCCCTACTTCAACACATATATGGGAACCATGAGAATTCACAACCTAGAAAGCCAGAAGTCTGGTGTCAATCATGAACTTTTGCGAAAAGGAACATATTTGAATGGATCAATGAAGACATGTTGAATGCATGAAATATTTTACAGTATGAATATGACTCCTGGGATAAAAAACTTTCCCTTGTGTATGTCTGTGTAGCTCTACTTTGTTCTAGAATTTTCATACTTTCATTATTCACTTACTGAATTCTAACTGTTATACTTTCTATTTCCACTCTGTCCCAACAACTGTAAGGACCTTCCAAGCAGGAATCAGGTCTAACTATTCTCATCATTTGTGCCCAGCACACATAAAATAATCTATTAATGTTGGTTTCATTTATTTCTGAGAGTATTCCCATTTTGGACCTGAAACTGGAATATTGGGAGTCATTAATCTACTTTGATGAATTTTTTCATATATATGAAGAAAGTAATAAAAATGTCAGCTAGCCAATTTAGTTTTCCTTCTTTATCCTGTGCTCTAGTTTTTAATTATGCTTTTCCTGAATGAGAATATTTCATCAATTTTATTATGCACACAGCCTCCAAAATGGAGTTTTTGATTGAAAGACTATGGTCTTAAAAGTAGATTCCAGGTATGAAAGTATAAAAAATGATTTCTACTTGAGGAAAAGCATTTCCCATTCAATAATAAGATTGAAATTTCAATCATTAGGAAATGAGAAACATTCTAAACCAAGTTTCAAATAATTTTTGTAAGAGGGTGTATCATCCAGGGATACATTAAGCTTTAAGCAACAGAAAATCTGATTATAGTAGCTTAAAGAAAAAAGACTTCATTTTTCTTATCTAATAAGAAGCCTTGACACATGTGGCTGCATTGAATTCAGTGACACAAGGATATCAAGCCCATATTTCTGTGAGACTCTTGACTTTCCTTGGAGTCACATACTGGTTTCATAGCTCTAGGTATCACATCTATATTCAAAATAGAAAAAAAGGGGGGGTGTCAGAGAATAGTTTCAGCTCAGCCACATCTATCCCTTTTTAAGCAAAGGAAAAGCATCTCCGTAATCATCATCAGTGGATTTAGGCTTGCAATTTATAGGCTACAACTAGGTCATATGATCATCTATAGTTGCAAGCAAACCTGGGAGAAAGAGCTCTAGTAGGATGGAGTAGAGCACTGTGTCCAGGTAGTTGGGAAAGATGCGGAGTGGGTGGGGAGATGATGACTAAGGTTAACTCACAAAGAAAATGGTAGCTATTGGGAAACTATGCATTGAATCAATTGAATTTAGGTTAGATTACTTAGAATTAAATTCAAGTTTAAGCCTAAATCCTAATCCTTTGCAATATATCTTCTCGTTCTCTTAGATCTTGACGTGTTTGAAGGTTAAATCCAAGAGAATTTAAATGTAGGCACATATTTGAAAGAGCAAGTTACCTATTCTAATATGTGTATAATATATTCATATAATGAGCATATATAAATAATGCATATGAATAACACGTGTTACATATGGATGATATATTTGAATAATATATATTTAACATAAAATTAATAAACATATAAGATAGTAAGGATATATTATTTACTATAAATAATAGGCATTATTTATGCATATTTATACATACAAATAACGTTCAACCCATCTAGGATTCCATATACAGACTAAGTGCCATAACTAGCAAGCATGGGGCATGCGCTCATAGACAGCTTTGATTTAATACTTATACAGAATCTTCTGGACTCTAATAAAGTCTCTAGACTTTATTATGTATCCAGAGGATGTCTAGATTCTAACAGAGTTATTTGCTATATATAAGTTTGTGACTGTTTTTCAACTTACATGTAAACTTGACCCAAAGTCATCAGAAAATTGACACTTCTCTCTCAAATATAATATCTTCACTTTAAATATCCAACCTAGCACATCATCCCCAGCAGAGAAACAAATTCAATTTTGAGGCATCTTTCTTGTGTTTCCAGAGTTAACATCCCTTCCCCATTAGGTAACCAACGCAAGTGTGAGAATTGCTCAGATACGTTTAGAACCGATACATTGATCCATTTCAGGACCAGGAGGTATCTGAAAGTCACCCACATCAGAAGCACTGATATTAGACACTTCAGACATCCAACAGTCTTGGGTGAGCTACTGTTCAGGAAGCTTGTTGAGCCTCTTTGTCATCTTCTCTATTATAAACGTTTCGGACATGAAATCCTCTGATAAGAAAGAAAATCAAAACAGCAAGCAAAATAAAGTCATGATCATCTGCTCATAAACCAAGCCTACCTTCTCTGACCATTTTTGAACAGTCATATTTGCCAAAAATGACCAGTCTCATTTCTAAATCACTGCAGCTCAAGCAAACTCGGTACAGAACTGTGACTGTAGCTTTCTAGACACCACATTTTCCCCTTTCTCTAGAGTAAGCCTCAGGACAATGGTCAGCCCCATCACATGTCCCACAGACTACCCTCTCTCACACCCTGAGTGGTATGGGGAGGCATTCAAAAGCCTCATTATAGCTTATGGCAAGAAGGGTATTAGGAGGAGGTGGGATTATTACATTAGGGATGCTTCTGGGGTTTAATCCTTCCATAACAGGAAAAAATTGGCTTAAAAGTGGGTTTCACCAAGATTTTTAACTGCTGATCACTTTTTTGTGTAAGAAGTTTGATTTTAGATATCATTCACTTTTGTGCAAGAAATTCAAATTTTACTTTCTCTTTCACTATAATAAAAATAAATATATACAAAACTTTCTAACCAAATGAACTTCCAAACCACCTAACTAACTATCAAATATTGTAGGCAAGTCAGCCAGAGAGGTTACCTATGGTACAAAATATTTGTAATAGTCATATAAAATAAGTGGTATGCAATATATGCATAGTTTGCCTTTCTGAGTAACTGGAAATTACATAAATTTAAGTGGTAAAAGAACTTCCAGGGATGTTCTTCTGAAATTCGTTCATCTTGAAAAATCTAAAAAATCTTATTTTGTATGAACAGCTATCCACTTGGTATGTATCCTAAGAACAAAGCTAAAATTGAATGAATTGACAATATTTTCCTCCTTTTATTGGAGTATTTGGCCTCACCTCATATAAATATTTGAGTACCAGGACTTTTCAGTTTTCTTTCATATTTAAATGTTTTATTTCTATTTGATACATGATAATTGTACAAGGCAGTATTTCAATGCACGCATACAACACATAATGATAAGATGAGAATAACTGGCCTACCCATCACTTCAAGCCTTTGTTGTTTCTTGTTGTTAGAAGCATTCAAAATCTTCTCTACTATTTTGAAGTATAGAATTAAATGTTGTCCATGCCAGTTAGCCTTCTCTGCTATGGATCATTTATTACTCCTCTCCATTTGTATCTGCTAATAATCCTCTCTCCATTTCCTTTTTCTCACCACCCTTCGTAGGCTCTGCTAGCCACATTTCTACTCTATACTTCCGAGAGATCATCTTTTGAAATTTTACACATAAACGAGAACATGTGATATTTGTCTTTCTGTGCCTGACTTATTTTACTTAAAAGAAGGTCCTCCAGTCCATCCATATTACCACAAATGAAAGATTCTCATTCTTTTTTTGTGGCTGAGCAATAAATTGTTTCTTAATTTATAAGCAGAACAAATTAAACATGGCATTATGTAATACATCACCATGAAAGGAGTGCCTACACAGCTTTCTGAGAACTTAATGAAATACAGCCAGAGCCATTTCATTTACCTGTACCCAAGCCGTTCTACTTGGATTGCCTTCTCTTTTCTTTTATGGTCAGCATACATTTCTCAAAACACTAAATGTCTGTTGAAATGTCTTAAACATCTCACCTCTTCTTTGTGTGGAGTGTAATTTAGAGACTCAAGAACATGTACAAGTTTCTTTGTGTTCCACCTTATACTATTCTTCTGTTCTTGTGTCATAGTGACCTAAGAATAATAACTGTCTGCAGAGATCTATTGATAAACAACTATTCTGATGAGAAATCAAATGTTGGCTTCTATTGTTCCTGAAATGCCAAAATGCTTGTAATTTCAGCTTTAGCCTTAAGAAAGTGCCATTATGGTTACAGTAATGAATATAAAAGCTGTCTGGTGTAAATCATTCTTTTGCTACATGAAGACACTTTTAAAATTTTTGTCAAGTGTGGCCATTCCAGTTTCCCTCAAAAATGTTTCAGGTCATATTTAGACAAGGTCGTAGTCAAAGTGGAAGTTCTCTCCTCCCTTCAGAGAAAGGTACCTCCTTCTTTGATGACCTATTCTTTCCACTGGGATCTCACTCGCAGAGATCTTTCATTTAGGTCATTTTTTTTTTTTTTTGCCAGAGTGTCTTGGCTTTCCATGCCTGAAATACTCTCATGGGCTTTTCAGCCAAATCCAAATGCCTTAAGGGCTGATTCTGAGGCCATAGTGCTATTTAGGACATCTGCCATTCTATGAGTCTGCTGTGTATCCCACTTCCCATGTTGGATCGTTCTCTCCCTTTTTGATTCTATTGGTTAGTATTTGCAGACACTGGTCTTGTTTATATGATCCCTTTGACTCTTAGTCCTATCATTCTGATCAATGTGAACAGAAATTGATCACTTGGACTAAGTGAGATGGCATTGGTACATGCCACCTTTATTTTATTTATTTGAAAGGAAAGAGAGAGAGAGAATGACTATCTTCTGCTTCACTCCCCAGATGGCTGCAATAGCCCCAGCTGAGCCAGGAGGGTGCCAGGAGCTCAGAACTCCATCTGGGTCTTATAAGTGGTTGGCAAGGGATCAAGTACTTAGGCCATTTTCCACCACCTTCCCAAGTGCATTAATAAGGAGCTGGACCTGAGTGGAGTACTTGGGACTTGAACTGGTGTTCTGATATGGAATCTTCACTGGTGGCAGCATTACCCACCATGATGCTGGCTCCAGTTGGGTTTTCTTACAACTGGGTTGTATGTTGCTCTTTATGGAAAGCCACTATTGATTTCTTGCCAGTTAGAATCATGTGCACTGCAGGAAAATCGGATTCATCCTTTCTTGGTAAGATCTGTTCTTGGGACTAACAGAATTCAATTAGCTATCAGCCATCTTTTAGAACACAGTACCCACCTATTGGAAGTAAAGGTTCCTTGCTGCATCCATCCCATGTTTTCTCCCAATCTCTTTAGCTCCCTCTCTAAACCTTTATCTCCCTTTCTCTTTCTATGGTATTGCTCTTAGGTATTGCCTCTTAATTTTTATGGCTTAAAGTATTAAATCTTAAATTGTGACTTAAATCTCCCATTTATAGATGGTTGTCAAGTAAATACTGCTATCCTAATCCTGCTGATGAGTTCTTCATTTCAGTAGCCATTTGTAAGTCTTCACCTAAATTACCTTCAGCCCCTCAACTCCAGCAAGTCCACATGGAATACATTGTTGCTCCCTAAATAAGGATCTCCTGGAGACTATCCCCATCATCCCAATTATGGCCACACATTTTGCTCCTCCTTCAATCTATCTTGTTTCCTGCAATGGACTGCCCAGATCTTCTGCTCCTATCTGTGTGATATACCTATCCATTCTCCATTTTGCACTGGAAAAATCCTGTGTTACTTGTTTATTTTCTTGGATCTGTGGTATGGCCCTGGTATCCTAATATGTTTGTCTGTTTCTTGCCTCTCTTAACAACACAACATATTGCACATTACTGTCAGAGAGCTGCCGTTACTCTGACCCTCACAACACGCTCATATCTGCTTGCAGAATCAACTCACATGCAAAAGTTCAGGAGGTCTACCACCTCACCCAAGGCTATAGTTCATTCCTCTCTTATTCCTTTCCTCTTTACACACTCTGCTCTGAAGAAAACCAAGCTATTTGGTAGTTGTTCCAAAAGGAATTTCCCAGGAAGCAGTCTCTATGACACAGATGTTTCTTAAGGAGTGCTTTAAAATAAAAAGATTTACTTATTTGAAAGGCAGAGTTACAGAGAAGTAGAGGCAGAGAGGGAAAAAGGTCTTCCACCCACTGGTTCACTCCCCTGGTGGCTGCAATGGCAGGAGTTGTGCCAATTCAAAGCCAGGAGCCAGGAGCTTCTTCCAGGTATTCCACATGGGTGCAGGGGCCCAAGGACTTGGGCCATCTTCCACTGCTTCCCAGGCCATAGCAGAGAGCTGGATTGGAAGTGGAGCAGTCGGGACTCCAACCGGTACCCATATGGGATGCAGGCACTGCAGGCAGCAGCTTTACCCACTACACCACAGCACTGGCCCCAGGAGTACTTTTCTACAGCTGTAAAGGGTGAGGGAAGGAAACAGGATTGCAGAGTAGGGTGACTTTGCATGCAGGTTCAACAAAAGAAGAGAGTTTGGAGCTGGTATGACTTTTCAAAGCTGTCTTGAGTCAGGATGAGAAGGGAATGACCTTGATAACCCAAATTTTTCCATCACTGGATGCAGACTTCTTTGGAGAGAACAATTGTCTTTATCCCAAAAAGGGCCAACAGCTGATGGCTATTGAAGACGGAGAAATAAACACTTTATAGCTTTTTATTCCTCAAAAATGAATCTGATTTGGTTATTTCACCACCATTTGTTGGAGTTTGTATTTGCAGGCTCTTTCTAGACTATGCAGTACTCTCAAGACTATCTTGAAACAATTCAGGGGTTCAGCATCACCTTCCATTGGACCCAAAGGTCCAGGATAAACATAGAGCTATGAATAGAGCAATAATTGACCCATTACAAAAGTTTAATTCAACTTTGACCACAGAATCTTCTCACATGTCCACTGAAAGATTCTCAACCCTGGGATCAAACTCTCTGCACCTATACCAGAAGATACATCCCAACACACCTATACCAGAAGATACACCCCAACAGCAGGAGTTAAGATCTTACAGGTCAGAGGTAGTTTCTCCAATAGGAGTGGGGCCATTAAGGACATTGCTTTCTGTGCAGAAAGAAAGGATGGTAAAAGTGAGGTATCTCTTAGCAGGTTTTTTGGGTTTGAAAGAGAGCAACTAAGAGACACAGGGTTTAAGCCAGTTTAGAACGAATCAAGAAATGACATATTTAAATGTGGCTACAGTTATTGCCTGTGCTATTGATGAGATTCTGAGAATGCTGGAATGGGGATAATTATGACACTGAGTTGATTTAGGCATAAACTTTATTCATACACTGGTCTTTTTTAAAAAGCTCCCCCCTTTTAAAGTTTCTTTACTTGAAGGGGAGGGAAAAGAGACAAAGAGTAAGAGATACACACATACACATACAGAGAGAGAAAGAGCAATCCAAAAAGATAATATTTCCGCTGGTTCACTCCACAAGTACCCACAACATTTTGATTTGGACCAGACCAAAGCCAGGACCCCAGAACACAATCTACATCTCCCACATGGGTAGCAGGGACCATCACCTACTGTCTTCCAGGATGTGCTTTAGCAGGAAGCCAGATCAGAAACAGAGCCAGGACTTGAACCAGGAAATCTGCTATGTGATACTGTTGTCTCAAGCATCATCTTGAACACTGAACTGAACATTCATCCCATCTTCCCATTTTATGATTGATGAAAAATAAAAAAATATTAAAGAATTTGTAATTTTAACCATTTTTAAATTTATTTGACAAGTAAGAGTTATAGACAGTGAGAGAGAGAGACAGAGAGAAAGGTTTTCCTTCCATTGGTTCACTCCCCAAATGGCTGCTATGGCTATGCCGATCCAAAGCCAGGAGCCAGGTGCTTTTTTTCTGGTCTCCCATGCAGGTGCAGGGGCCCAAGCACTTGGGCCATCCTCCACTGCCCTCCCAGGCCACAGCAGAGAGCTGGACTGGAAGAGGAGCAACCAGGACTAGAACCCGGTGCCTATATAGGATGCCGGTGCCACAGGCGGAGGATTAACCAAGTGAGCCATGGCGCTGGCCCAATTTTAACCATTTTTAAATGGTATGGATCAGTGGCATTATATGCATTCATCATGCTGTATAACCAACACCACTATTAATCTCAAAAAGTCTTTCAATTTTGTAAAATTGAAATACTGTATCCATTAAATAATATTGGCCCATTTCCTCCTACTTCCACTCCCTGGCACCTTCTATTCATTTCATCTCTGTCTCTATGATTTGGATACTCTAAACACCTTATGTAAATGGAACCATACTGTCTTATACTGCTCATTGTTGCTGTTAATTTCATGGATCAGGTTGAGAAAGCTACTCTATGCTAGTACAGTCTGCATACCAAAAATATTAATAACCTATGATATGAATTCTGTGATGTGTTTTTCTTCTGGTATCCTTTCCAAAAGATATCAATAATTTTTAAGAAATCTGTGTGATTTATACGTATTTGAATGACTTCAATATACTTTAGTTCAATGAAGCACTAATAGTTCTCAAGGATCTTCTGCATTTTTAAAAAATATTTATTCATTTGAAAGGCAGAGTTAGAAAGAGACACACAGAAAGAGAGAGGAGTCTTCTATCTGGTGGTTCACTCCTCAAATGGTCATAATGGCTGGAGCCAGTCCAGGATGAAGCCAGGAGCCTGGAGCTTAATCTAGGTCTCCCACATGAGTGCTGGGGCCAAAGCCCTTGAGCCATCCTCTGCTGCTTCCCTGGCACATTAGCAGGGAGTTGGGTTGGAAGTGCAGCTGGGACTCAAACTGGTGCCCATATGGAATGTTAGCGCCAGTAGCTTTTACCTGCTATGCCACAGTGCCGGCCCCTCTCCTGTGTTTTATAAGCCTGAAGTCAGTGAGATGAACCTAAACATTAAGAACCTAAACATTAAGGATCTGTAGCAAAGTATACTTTTGGAGAAGGAATAAAAAAATTGGATACTTTGATATTTCCTAATACTTAGGGTAGATGGTTAGGTTTTCTGCTAACAAATTTTGAATTACATAAAAGGAAATTTTTTTGACAGGCAGAGTTAGAGAGTGAGAGAGAGAGACAAAGAGAGAGAGTTATAGACAGTGAGAGAGAGACAGAGTGAGAGGTCTTCCTTCCATTGGTTCACTCCCCTAATGGCCAACTCCCCTAATGGCCACCACAGCCGGCACTGCACGCCGATCCGAAGCCAGGAGCCAGGTGCTTCTTCCTGGTCTCCCATGAGGATGCAAGAGCCCAAGCACTTGGGCCATCCTCCACTGCCTTCCTGAGCCACAGCAGAGAGCTGAACTGGAAGAGGAGCAACCGGGACTGGTACCTGGCACCCCAACTGAGACTAGAACTTGGGTGCCAGGGCCGCAGGCAGAGGATTAGCCAAGTGAGCCACGGTGCCGGCCCATAAAAGGAAATTTTGAGGCACTACTTCAATTTTCAGGAGCAAATAACTACAGAATGTCAACAGAAGAAAATACTACGTCCTGCTCTAGGGGTTTAGGTAGGAGATCAACAAAATTCAGTTGAGGAGGTAGCATTTGAGCTGGTTTTTGAACAATTGAATAGACTTATAGAAATAAGTAGGAAAGTATTGCTGCTGGAGCTCTGTAGAAGTTATTTACCTGTATATTCCTTACCTGGTATGTCACTTTCATCAGAAATGGTATTCTTTGGGGTCAGCACTGTGGTGCAGTTGGTTAAAGCCCTGGCCTACAGCAACCAGCATCCATATGGGTGCCAGTTCAAGTCCCAGCTTCTCCACTTCCAATCCAATTTCCTGCTAATGCACCTGGGGAAGCAGTGGAGGATGGCCCAAGCCTTGGGTCCCTGCATCCACATAGGAGACCTAAAAG